GGCAGTCCACTGAGGAATCACACACACATGCACACATCACATCAATGTACAGTGTTCACTGCGTACTGTGTGTATGTCAAGTGACATTGCAAATTTAGCTTGAAGTTCTTCCCCCAGATTACTTGTTACTGTTAACAACAGAGGTTTATATGGTTGAAACAGCATGTTCAGATTTTATATAAAACAGATGCTAGGGGACTGCAAATATATAAAGGGAACATGTGCAGTTGATATGAAGCTAATGCTGTTAAACAAAGAAATAAATACATATACATTATCAAACACAGGTATGTTCCTCCATCCCCAGTCTGTTTAAGAAAGATTCAAAGTTTTGGCTCTCAATAGACCTTTTTCACACCAGCCATTTGCCGCTGTTTCAAGCATTTTTTTAAACACATGATTCCACTATAGCCTTACACCAGGAGATAAGAGACCGTCCTCACAAGAAAATCAGACAGAATCAACCCTTTCACCCCAAATCTGTTTATGTCAAGCCATACTGGAGCTACTAGAAATGCAATGAATTTGTCACCAAGCCTTTAATTTGTTTTTTATTTTGTTTGCAGCGCTATTGTTCAAATCAGAGTCAGGCTGTACAATATCACAAAAATATCCTGATATGGTCATTTCATATCCAGATAATGATGTATTTCCTGTAAATTCAATTAATAGTTTATATGAAATGGCTACATGGAAATGCCTGTTATTCTGTTTTATAAAAGTTACTTCAATTAAGAATGTAATAAAATATAAAAACACTTTTCAACTTAAGATGCATTAGTGGTCTGTGTCATGATTTTTTATACCCAAACTTCATCCATGCAACAGAAACTTTGATACTTTGCAGAATCAAATTATTAATACAAAATCTATCTAATTAATGATAATGTAGTATTATAGATTAAGATACCTAGTAGTATAAAGTAATCAAAATACCCAAAGTTCAGATACTGGAACTGGTATCTGGAAGGTAAAAATGGAATCAGAACAGAATTTCTTTTATTGGCAATCAGATAACGATACCCATAAATAGAACAATGCTGAAAATGGGATCCGATAATCAGATCACTAAGAGTGAGCTTAGCTGTGAGCTGTTACTTACTTTTGTTATCTGAGGTAAATGCTACACTTTTCGACATCACTCTAGTTTTAGAGGCACAGTACATTACAGTAAAATACCTTAGTTTATATTGCATTGTGGGTAATTTCTATCAAGCTGGAACATTTTACAGTATATTTAGTATAGTAATATTACTAGTACTAGTAACTGAAGATTATATATATAATTATCAATACTAATAATAATACTATTAGTAATTATTATAGACCAGAAATAGACCAAATTACAAAATACAGT